TGTCTCCCAAGGCAAATTTAAAAAGAAGCAAAAATAAACAAATGGGACCTAATCAAACTTAAAAAGCTTTTGTACAGCAAAGGAAACCATCAATAAAACAAAAAGACAACCTACGGAATGGGAGAAAATATTTGCAAATGATATGACCGACAAGGGGTTAATTTCCAAAATATACATACAGCTCATACAACTCAATATCAAAAAAAGCAAACAACCCAATCAAAAAATAGGCAGAAGACCTAAATAGACATTTCTCCAGAGAAGACATACAGATGGCCAACAGGCACATGAAAAAATGCTCAATGTTGCTAATTATTAGAGAAGTGCAAATCAAAACTACAATGAGGAATCACTTCACACCAGTCAGAATGGCTATCATCAAAAAGTCTACAAATAATAAATGCTAGAGACAGTGTAGAGAAAAGGGAACCCTCCTACACTGTTGGTGGGAATGTAAATTGATACAGCCACTATGGAAAACAGTATGGAGGTTCCTTAAAAAACTACAAATAGAACTACCATACGACCCAGCAGTCCCACTACTGGGCACATATCCAGAAAAGATGAAAGCTCTAATTCAAAAAGATATATATATACCGCAATGTTCACAGCAGCACTATTTATAATAGCCAAGAAATGGAAGTAAGTTAAGTATCCAACAATAGATAAATGAATAAACAAAATGTGGTACATATATACAATGGAATATTACTCAGCCATAAAAAGGAATGAAATTGGGTCATTTGTAGAGATGTGGACGGACCTAGAGACTGTCATACAGAGTGAAGTAAGTCAGAGAGAGAAAAACAAATATTGTATATTAACACATATATGTGGAATCTAGAAAAATGGTATGGATGATCCTATTTGCAAAGCAGAAATAGAGAACAAATCTATGGATACCAAGGGGGAAGTGGGGTGGGAGGAATTGGGAGATTGGGATTGACACATATACACTATTGATACTATGTATAAAATAAATAGCTAATGAGAATATACCATATAGCACGGGGAACTTAATGCACTGTGGTGATCTGAATGGGAAGAAAGTCCAAAAGGGAAGGGATATATGTATGTGTACGGCTGACTCATTTTGCTGGGCAGCAGAAACTAATACAACATTGTAAAGCAACTATACTCCAATAAAAATTAATTAAAAAATAAAATAATCAAAAGTTGATCCAAATAGTTGGACCTCACCAAGGTAGAGCTGCAGATCCAAGTTTCCCAAGTGTGAAATAGACAAGAAGACTTGCCGTTCAATTTTTTTTCTTTCTGTATAGAATTTGTTGGGAAGACAAAGACGAAGCGATTGGTGCCATGTACAGGTAAGGATACAAGACTGGCACTTGTCTTATCTTAGGAGAACACAACCGGAAAGGATCTTAAAGATTATTTAACCAGGAGTTCCTAACCTGAACTCAGAAAACTAAGTTGTGATGGGCTTCAAAAAGTATGTAAATACTACCTGCTCCCCAAAATTGTATACTACATTTTGTGTATGTGTGTTTCTCTGGAAAGAAGATAGTTTTCATAATATTTTCTAAGGGTTTGTAACCTCCAAGAGTATTAAGTATAATTTAATTAACCATTAATACTATGATCTGATTACTCAGGTAAGAATGTTATTTGCTTTTCCTTCCCAAAGTTTCTTGTTCATTAGAACTCAAATAAACAAACAAAAAGACAAATAAATGATATATTTGAAGTTAAGAGGGAAAAAAAAAGATACATGTACCCCAATGTTCACAGCAGCACTGTTTATAATAGCCAAGACATGGAAGCAACCTAAGTATCCATCAACAGATAAATGGATAAACAAGATGTAGTATATATATGCAATGGAATATTACTCAGCCATAAAAAAGAATGAAATATTGCCATTTGCTGCAACATCAATGGACCTAGAGATTATCATACTAACTGAAGTCAGAAAGAGAAAGACAAATATTATATGATATCACTTATATGTGGAATCTAAAACATAATACAAATGAATCTATTAATAAAACAGAAACAGACTCAAAGACATAGAAAATAAACTTATGGTTACCAAAGGGGAAGGAGACAGGGAGGATAAATTTGGAGTATGGGATTAACAGATTCGACTATATATAAAATAGATAAGCAACAAGAATTTACACAGGGAACTATATTCAATATCTTGTAATAATCTATAATGGAAAATAATCTGAAAATATATTTATATATATAACTGAATTATTTTGCTGTATACCTGAAACAATACTGCAAATCAATTATACCTCAATTTTTAAAAAATGAATTGCCCACTCAAAAATTTTAAAAAATGGAAAATGAAAAATCCACATGGAAGAACACCTTGATTTCAAAAGTATGGCTGCCCTCTTCTGAAAACTACATTGTCTGATATTTCCCAATATCACCAGGAACTACTGGGATTCTCCCACAGCTTTTTTTTTTTTTTTTTTAATTTACTTACTTTTGGCTGTGTTGGGTCTTCGTTGCTGCACGTGGGCTTTCTCTAGCTGCGGTGAGCGGAGGCTACACTTTGTTGCGGTGTGCAGGCTTCTCATTGCTGTGGCTTCTCTTTTTGCAGAGCACGGGCTCTAGGCGCGCGGGCTTCAGTAGTTGTGGCACGTGGGCTCTAGAGCTCAGGCTCAGTAGTTGTGGCACACGGGCCTAGTTGCTCCTTGGCATATGGGATCTTCACGGACCAGGGCTCGAACCCGTGTCCCCTGCACTGGTAGGCGGATTCTTAACCACTGCGCCACCAGGAAGTCCTCACCCACAGGTTTTAACAGCAGACTGGATAGTGCCTTTCTAGAATAACTGGTATGATTGCTTCAAGATGAACTACCTGGCAGGAGTAAGGAAAAGATATGAAAGATAACACATTAAAAACTTTTAAAAGTCCACGCTAAAAGAAGTCCACACTAAAGAAACATGCCTATGTGTAATGAAAATACTTGTTAATCCCCACACAAATCCTGTAGCCGAATTCTTTTCCTTTTCTTTAGAATGTCAAAATCCACATTCAATTCAAATGTAAAAGGTGAAAAAGATTAAGTGAAAACATTCCCTCCCAACCCTTTCCCCTAGATTCCCACTTACTCTCTTACAATAATAATCATTTCTTGGTTGTCTTTCTAAACCTATATTGTCTTTCTAAACCATATCCAAGAAAACACATATTATATATGTATTGTGTATGAAATATACTCCACGCCCCAGCCCATACCCAGTGTTTTGCATTTAACAGTACGTTTTGGAGATCTATTAAGACATAAAGACCTTACTCATTTTTTTTTTTTAGTGTGGCATAGCATAGTAAGGTTAATCGCATGTGCCATTATGTGTTTGTTTTAGTTTGTCTGAGGTTTTTTTTTTTTCCCCTGGTATGAAACGCTAATAGATATGGACTTCAAAAAAAAACAAAAACAAAAACAACTGTAATCATAACACTATTATCACACTTAAATTAACAATAATTTCTCAATATCATCACACATCTAATCGATATCTGAGTTAAATGATCTCATGTCAATTTTAAAAGCTTTTGACAATTTGAATTACAATCTAAATAAGAGCAATACGTTGCAGTCGATTGATGTTTTTAAAGCCCCTTTTAATCTGTAGGTTTTCCCTCTTTTGTTTCCCTTGCGTTTTATTTATTAAAGTACCCAGGATGTTGTCCTGTAGAGTTTCCCACAGTCAAGATCTTGCTGATTCTATCTCTATGGTGTAGTTTAACATGCTCCTCTGTTCTATTTTCTATACATTAGTAGTTGGATCTAGGGGTTTGATCAGATTTCGTTGTGATTTTGTGTGTGTGTGTGTGTGTGTGTGTGTGTGTGTGTGTGTGTGTGGTGTTCTTTTATTATAAGAACACCCTGTTGGTTATCTTCCTTTTTGTAATCTTAGTCAAAGTTTCTTTTTTAATGGAAAAGTGGTAATTAATTTTGAAACAAAATGTCCTCTCTTTCAGAAGGAGGTGGTGGTTCAAACGACTTCTGTGACAGATGTATGGCTGAGCAATCACCTTGTAAGAGAAATAGTCACACAAGAATAATTCAGGGAAAACAACAAATTCCTCATCATTTTTCACTCTCAACAACAGTGATTTCCTTTTTCTTAATTAGCTCTTAATCACTACAAGCTCCGCATTTTTTCCTGAGGTATTACTTCCAGGAGGCAGCCAAAAACGGCTCAGTGGATAAGCTGCTTTTCAAAATCAAACATTTGGGCGAGTCGCCATTTATTTATGACCAAGGATCCTCGTGATCGAGCTCCGGCCTTCCCCCGAGGCGCTAAAAAGCAGTCTTATTTAACTCGAGACCTTTCTTTCCTTTTTCACCTTTTTCCGGCCTTGGGCACCGGCACCGCGCAGGACAGGCCGCAAGGAGCCGGGACTTGCAGGAACTCGGTCTCAGCCGGTCGCCGACTCACAGAATCTCAGAACCCCCAGCCAGTGAGCCGCGGAATCCCGTCCACCACTGGGGCCTCCGCCCGGCCTGCCGCGCTCTGGGGCGGGCGTGGTGGTGGTTGGGGCCGGATGGGCGGGGCCTCGAGGCTCCGCCCCGTTCGGCGACTGCTCTCCGGCTCCACAGCAGCCAGCTGACACTAGTCGCGGAGCCGCCGCCTTCGCTTTCATCTCCGCCTCAGCTTCGGAGGATCCCGGCCAGGAGCGAGAGCCGGCAGCTGGCCCGCAAGCCGCCGCCGCCATGGGGAACCGCGTTTCGCGGGAAGACTTCGAGTGGGTCTACACCGACCAGCCCCACGCCACTCGGCGCCAGGAGATCCTGGGTGAGGTCCGGGCCCGCGCCCCGTTATGTGCGTGCGCGGCCTCCCGCTACCGGGACGCGCCTTCCTCGCGCGGCCCTTGCGCGCCCGAGGCCGGTTAAGAGTCGACTCCCTGCCGCGTCCCGCCGCCCCGGCCGCCTGGCCTCGCGGGAAAAGCCGGGGGAGGCGCTGGGCCGGAGCGGGAGGGAGGGAGGGATCCCCGCGCTCCCCCGTCCCACCGCGTAGCCCCGGCCCTTCGGCTGGGAGGCGCAGGCGCGCCCCCAAGCGCGGGCGTGCGGTCGAGGCCAGGGTTTGCTCAGAGCCGAGTCCCCGCGACTAGGCCACCCTTGGGTAGATCCTCTCGCTTGGAAATTCTCGTGCCGCCGGTCGGCACCGTTTCCTCCCCGTCTCCGTCCTCCCCCTCCCCCCTCCTCCTCCTCTCCCCTCCTCCTCCTCTCCCTCTCCCGGTAGCCGGCCCCGGCAGAGCCAGGCTGCGAGCGTGTGCGCGGCAGGGCGTGGTCCTGGAGCATCTGGCGGCCCACGCGCGGGGCGCGCTGACGTTGGTCAGCGCCAGCCGGTCATCCTGCCGCCGGCGGCTGCCGCCTTGGGCCGGGGAGGGAACTCGTGGTACCCGACCCGTTTGACCGCAGGGGCTTCTCGGGCCGGAAAGGTAAGCGTTCCAGGGTCCGGATCCTGCTGCGGTCACGGTGTTCTCATTGATCCTCTCAACGAGGCTCATGCAAGAAGGGCAGATTCATATATATTTTTCATCCATCCCAGTTTTGTGGACGAAAAGGCTGAAGTATGGAAGACTTGCCAAGATTAGCCTTCTGGTCCCCTGACTGCTAGTTTAGGGCCTTTACACCAGGTTAACTAGGCCTTATTCAACTCTCTAGAGGTGTAAGGCGCTCAGCTATTTGCAGCTTCTACATTATATAGAGAATTCTCTCATTTCTCCCAGGGAACTCTTAATGGTAAGCTAGGCATTGTGTTGAGTGCTTTACAAACATTACACAATTTAATCCTGCCAGTAATTAGGTGTTATCCCTGTTTTAAAGATGAAGTAAGAGTGAATAAGTAAACGTTAGAGGGGAATTCTGATCTGGGTTAGATTACCTTCAAAGCATTGCTTTTAACCTCTTTGCTGTTGTTTCAAAGATCTGGAAACTAGTGGGTGGTAAATTGAATAGGAGGAATTCTTTCTCATACACAGTATTCCCCTAGTTTTTTTTCTCTGCATCCATTTGTGCAATGAAAAGAAAAATCAAGCCCCTGATTTTTGTTGGGTAAGTTAGAAATTTCATGTTTTCACAAAAAGAAAGGAGTTAACCCTTTAAAAACTTTCATGGTCGAGCAGACCCTTCAGAGTTGTCTCTTGGACTAGAGTTCACCTTCTCCAGGTTGCCTGCCTCCTGAATAAAGCAACCTTTCCTTTCCAGCCAATACTTGTCTCTTGAGTCCCGCAAACAGTGGAACCAGAGTTTGGTAGCATGTGGTCACAGATCTAGTAAATGGAGGAATCTAGATTTAAATCCATATCCTTCTGACACTAGGGACTATTTTACACTGTAATAGAACTTTATAAATTGTTAAAAAAAAAAGAGTTAGTAGATCCCTTTGAAATGGATTTGTTAAAATTGAATCAGTAAGTTGGGAGCTTGAACCTTTATAGTTGCTATTAAGGGTATACTTTTAAGAGAGTTTGGTTCGTGGATGCTTTCCTTTTTATTTTTAATCAAAATGTGTATTTTGCAAATCACACATAGGAGATAGCATATGGTACATTTTATCTATGCCTGATCAATACATTACATAAGAATAATCTGGTATCCACGCTATAAAAACCAACTCCTGAATACTGGAACTTAGCTATCTATTTAAAATTCAGAAAATCAAGGAAGTCAAAAGGTGCTTGTTCATGCTTATCTCAACACTGAACCTTTTTTCCACAAACTTATCATCACTGGACCGTTTCACTTGGAAAGTAGAAGGACTACATATTTCTCAATGAAAACATCATTTTCCCTGCAGGTGTAAATAAATACTGCTCAGTGTTCCATCTCAGGGGTGGAGATGGAATACCCTCAGGAAAGATAAAAATCTGGAGACTTGTTTAAATTATACTTAAATGGTGAGATATTTCTCAAATGTATCAGGTTTTGGGGGAGAGAGAGACACCAGAGAACATGGATATGTTGTTTAACAACCACCATCTGTATGCTAAATTTACAAAATTTATGTACGAAATTAATGAAGGCTAGGAACTAGACCATTATTAGTGGGTCAGATAAGCACAAGAAATGCTCCTTTTACTGCTGTACTTCCACAGTGAAACAGCATTTTTTTTAACAGCCTTATTAAAATATAATTCACAAACTATAAAGTTCATCCTTTTTTTTTTTTTTGGCCATGCCGCAGGGCATGTGGGATCTTAATTCCCCAACTAGGGATCAAACCCGTTCCCCCTGCACTGGAAGCGCAGTCTTAACCACTGGACCGCCAGGGAAGTCCTGAAAGTTCACCCATTTAAAGTGTACGATTCAGTGAGTTTTTATAGTGTATTCACAGAGTTTTAAACTATCACTACAATCTAATTTTATAAAGTTTTAGTCACCCTAAAAAGAAACCCTATACTCATAAGCAGTCTCCATATCTTCCAGTCCTGGGCAACCACTAATCTTTCTGTTTTTATAGATTTGCTTATTCTGGATGTTTCTTATGAATGAAATCATAAAATATTTGGTCTTTTGTGACTGACTTCTTTCACTTTGCATAATGTTTTCAAGGTTCACCCATGTTGTAGCATGTATCAGTACTCAGATCCTTTTTGTAAGTTTCGTGTTTGGTGTAAGAGAGAGGTCCAGTTTTATTCTTCTGCACATGGATGACCAGTTTTTCCAGCACCATTTGTTGAAAAGACTATTCTTTCCCCCCATTTAATTATATTGGCATGCTAGTATTGATTTTTATATACTATTACAGCTTTGCAAAAATTTGGTACAGAATTACTTGGAGGAAGTTGATTTGTCTGAGAAAAATGTGCCATCTTTGTTTCATGATTTTAGTGTAACTATGAAGTGTGTGTTATCTTCTATCCCTTGTCAGATGTGTCAATTTAATCTAGTTTTATGTAAGGTAAAAATGCTGGAGCTCTAAACAGAAATAACACATTTTAATACAAAAGATTTATTACTTATCCACCAATGAATTAAACACTTGTTTGGAGGACTGCTCAAAATGCCCATATTTTAATGAATGACTTATTTGAGTTTTTCATTTATCCCAGGGTAGTTAGTTTTAGACGCAAACCTATTGAGTAATCAATAATCAAAAAGTAACCCTCAAAAGGATTATTTTTTTTGGCCTATTGCCTACAAAATTGTTAACATTGATGAAATGAACTAATACCAACAAAGATGAGAGGTTAGGGAGTGGAGACAGAAGAGAGGAAAGGAAAGAAACAAGAATAATTACCTCGAATTAACACTACCTTTATTTCTTATATCTAAAACTAGACTTAAATAACTTCCTGTCTTGCATTTTAAGCTTTTATTGAATTCTTCATTTCACCTTTAGGGAAAAGAGGGTGAAGCTGCTCTTCTTTTTTCTGAATCTTTTCAAGAACACTCTGAAAGACCTGTCCCAAGAAAAAGGTCCTTCTTCCTTTTGCTGTCCTGGGTCAAACATACTTGACAACACACAAAACAAAAGATGTTCATTATATCTGGGCTTCCATCTCTGGAGTGCCGGGATACAGAGAAGAATCTGCATTTGCCTGTAGGAACACTTGCCTGAAATGCAGAGATTTTTATTACTGGCCCTTCCCATAATACTTGGATATTTGCATGTGAATTCAACAAATAATCTAACACAGATTAGTATTGTTCAGTTCTAACGCAAAAAGAAAGAAAGAAGGGGGCGTGGTGTTGTGAATCCATAGAGTTCTTTGGAAATTACCCTAATTTCCAGGTGACTAGAAAAAGTCTACATTGGCAAAAATTTACATATCTAAATGTCTAAAAATAGGAAAATGGTTAGAAGTTACAACTGGCAACTAGAAGTGATTTAGTCATTAAAAAGGAAATTATGAAATCTAAGTATATAATATAGTGTATATAATATGTATATATTATATATAAGTATATTGCATATGTAGTATATTGTATATATATTACATAAAAGCATATTGTAATAGTCTGTAATCTGCCAGACACATAGGTTTACCAGATTATGATTACCACTTTGTAAAACTTATAAATTTAATATACAAAAAATTGTTAGGAGTGAAAAGGCAACTAGATAACATGAAATCTTTACTCATTTGTGACTATCTTTCTGTTATTGTGGAGAGTCTAGATTTTGAGCCTTATTTTTTTCCGCATAAATTCTCAATTTGTTGTGACATAGTATTTAGTAATTTTACTGTTGAATACACTCCTTCCCTGTAGTAGACAAATATTTGATAAAGTCTCTAATAGAGGGCATATAATGACTTGGAAAAAGAAAAAAATTAATCCATGTGTTAATGTAATTGATGTTAGTTTAATTATAATTGCAGAACTATTGTGCACTTTTCTCAGTCTCTGAGTTTTTGTTTGTTTTTCCCTTACAGCAAAGTATCCAGAGATAAAATCCTTAATGAAACCTGATTCCAACTTGATATGGATTGTAATTTTGATGGTTCTCACTCAGTTTGTTGCATTTTACTTAGTGAAGGACTTGGACTGGAAATGGGTCCTATTTTGGGCGTATGCCTTTGGCAGCTGCATTAATCATTCAACGACTCTGGCTATTCATGAAGTTTCCCACAACAGTGCCTTTGGCCAATGCAAACCTATGAGGAATCGTTGGTTTGGAATATTTGCTAATCTCCCTATTGGTGTTCCATATTCAATTTCCTTTAAGAGGTATCACATGGATCATCATCGATACCTCGGTGGTGATGGCGTCGATGTGGATATTCCAACTGATTTTGAAGGCTGGTTCTTCTGTACCACTTTCAGAAAGTTTATCTGGGTTATTCTTCAACCTCTCTTTTATGCTTTTCGGCCTCTGTTCATCAACCCCAAACCAATTTCTTATCTGGAAATCATCAATACTGTGATCCAGATCACTTTTGACGTTGCGATTTACTACGTTTTGGGAATTAAATCTTTAGTCTACATGTTGGCGGCAACCTTACTTGGCCTAGGTTTGCACCCAATCTCTGGACATTTTATAGCTGAACATTACATGTTCTTAAAAGGACATGAAACTTACTCATACTATGGGCCTCTGAATTTACTCACCTTCAATGTGGGTTACCATAATGAACACCATGACTTCCCCAACATTCCCGGAAAAAGCCTTCCCCTGGTAAGTAAAGGATTTGATACATGTTCTAATTTCTGATGGTTATATGATCAAAATTACTTTTGACTTGCTCATTTAACATGGAATCTAGTATATTTCGTCCATCTAGGCTGTTCATCAAAGAAAACAGCAAGAGTCCAAGTCCTGAGTTGGCCAGCCTAACTTTACAAAGAGTTCACTGTCCTGGATCCCTAAGCCTAGCGGTAACACGTCTGGTTTAGAATGTTGGGGGATCTGCAAAATTGGCTAACATGTGAAGTAATTCAGAAATAGAGAATGAATTCCCTCTGTGAAGGGAGCAAAAGTTCACATAACCGTTATCACTGTTAAGCTGAATACACTTAGCTAAGGTTTGTGTTGGTTTGTTGTGAAATACAGAGGTCCTACATAATTGCTCTGCAAAATAAGTGAACTTCAGTTTCCAGTACCACAGACTTCCCACAGGTAGGGACCATCTGTTTCCTGTCACATAGACTTTCAGTGTGTCGTTTGTGGAGTAAATGAAAGACAGCACATTGACACTCATCCTTTCACCCTTCCCAAAACAGGATGATCCTCTCCAAACTTCAGTTGTATTTCTGATGAGTTCTCTTATTAGACTTGCCATCCTCAGAATGGATAACTTTTACAATTCCATTACCAAAAAAATGTTTCCGTAATTCTAAAAAGGGGAAGTAGTATGATGTGTAATATCAGGTTTTTTTGATTTTTTTTTTTTTAGCTGTGATATAAGGGAACCATAGCCAGGTATTTTATGCTATCATATCCACCCAACGACATTTTATAGATTTCCTCTTCAGTTTTTAAATGTTGACTGTCTGCAGACTCGTATACAACATGACAATGAAATACAACGTTTGATTATTGATTGGATTGCCAATTGAGGAAAGAAAGATCTAGAAAGGACATTGAGTTAGTGGGGAAATTTTGAATCTGGACCGTGTGATACATAATACTGTGTCATTGTTAAATTTCTTGGGTGCGGTAATGGTATTATGGTCTTGTTGGGGAATGTCCTCGTTCTTAGGAGATATGTGTAGAATATTTAGGGGTGAAGTATTCGGGGTTAGTTTTCATATAATGTCTGCAGCTTTCTTTCGTCAAAGAAAGAGCAAAGTATGTGGCGTGTACTATATATGGAGAGAGAGAAAGTGGCCGTGACATAGTGTCAATTGGTGGACCTAGGTGAAGGGCATATGGGTGTTGGTTTTTCTGTTCTTTCAACTTTTCTGTCGGTTTTACATTTTTCAAAATAAAATGGGGGAAAGCACCACATAACTGGCCAAAGACAGCTTTGAAACGGTGTAATGTGGTGCTAGTGCAGCTACTTTGTGTCATTGTGGCCTGAAAAGTGCAGCCCACCTTTGCTTGCCTCTTCCCTGAGTAGGACAGTACATTTTTATATTTTAAGAGGTTATGGTTTAAGGAGAAAGCCAGTCACCTTCGGAGCAAAATAATTAATTTTTTCCAATATAAACCACATACTTTGACTTGTAATTTTCTTGAACAGTCCCTGAACTGTTCAGCTCAAACATTACTTGACCTAAGGCCCATGGTTCATCAGTGAGTATTGAGTTCCCACTCCATTCCACACTGTTTTCCTGTTGCTTAGCTAAACTAACACACGTTCTCAGAGTTCTCTTAAGTCTTCCTTTTCCGGCTTTTTCTATGGTGTATACCAAGGAGTATCTTGTTCTACAGTTGTTGTGCTGCAGTAGTTATGTTGCGTATAACTGTCACGTGGTTAGTTAACAGGCATGTATAGCAAGGTTTCTTTTAACAGCTTTATTGAGATGTAACTCATAGATACAATTCATCCATTTAAAATTCAATGGTTTTTAGATTGTTCAGAGTTGTACAACCATCGCTGTAATCAATTTTAGAATATTCTTATCACAATAACAAGGTTCTTTAATTTTTTCTATGTTTTTCGTGCTGTCTCTCTTCAACATCTTGGATTCTGTGTTTTTGTTTTCCTTTGGGATTTATTAGGGTAGTTTTTGTACATTTTGTTGAAGCCACAGAATTTTTTCTTACTCAGCAGTAACTAGTTTTGCTTGCTCATCACACTGGCAGTAATTTTTTTAAAAGACATTCTCAACTTGAGATGGCTGAATTGCACACTTGATAAGTGATTAATTTCTAACTGGCATGCCACAATAATTGATCAGTATTTGTAGGTTCCTTAATGGCAGGGGATCAAGTGGTGCCTTTAAACCCTACAGTGGCGGCCGTGCAGTACCACACTTAAAAAGCAGTGAGCTGACTGGATTGCAAGTATTTGTTGTTAAAGATCCCAGCTGCCAACTTTTACAAGTAAACCAGTATATTTAGTCCCTCAGAGCTTGTTGGAACGTCATTAACTCTAGAGGATCAAGTATATGTTACTGCTGAAATGGAAGCTGCTTTTTGTTTATAATTCCCAAAGCTGCTGCTTTTATTTATTTATTTATTTGAGAGGGAGGCGGGAGAAAGTCTCATGGTTTCTCCTGAGTGTGTGTGTCAGACGTTCATCTGTCATCTGTAATAGGACTCAGCACTCACTCATCTTGCTGTATTTTCCCTTCCAGGTGAGGAAGATAGCAGCTGAGTACTATGAGAGCCTCCCCCACTACAATTCCTGGATAAAAGTACTGTATGATTTTGTGACGGATGATACAATAAGTCCCTATTCGAGGGTGAAGAGGCATCAAAAAGGCAGCATGGTTCTGGAGTAAATGTCATTAAGGCCAAAGGAATTCCTCTCTGAAACTCCAGAATAGCTGAGAAAGTGGAATTTTTACTAAAAAGACCAGCGACGTTCAGAAGCTGCCCTCCTACAAATTCGAAGTCTGATCTTCGTGGTATCAAGAAGCTAATCTGGCTGTAAACAGTCAGCCTGTCTGTGCAGCATTCAGCTTTACTCACAGGAAACTTGTTCACTGTATTACCACCGTGGTGGATGTTTTCACTTAGGTCTGACACTTTGTAAGCATATCATAAAAAAATAGCTTTTCAAAAGCTATTTCTAGTATGTTGTTTTCACTATAAGGATTTACTTTATTAAAACATCTAATAAACTGAGCTGTTGATCACAATAAATAGTGTGTATCATATTTTTTTTAATTTTACTGTCTTTACACTATAACCAGAGTACTGGGGGTGAGCTTACTTTAAAATTTAAAAAGGCCTGGAACTATCTTTCACTGCAAGCCGAACGACTCATTTTTACTCTTTTCTGTTGTAGCAAAATACATGGAACCTAAATTAGTGCTGAGTCCTGCACAGCCTATTCATAAGTCAAGACATCACTGAGTTTAATCACATAGAACCTTCAACTTCCTTTTCAGATGCGTGGACTCTCAAATTAGAAGCAACTCAACTAACTGATCAAGGGTTTCTTATCATTTCGTTTCAGCGGAAGCGGGTTGGGTCTGATGGTAGATGGTTGGTGTCAAGTAGCCAGTATCGAGGGCTGTTAGGCCGGCAGTCCTGGTTACCTGAAACGTGTCATTTGGGTAAATTTAGTGTACTATGGTGAACTATTTTTTTATCTTTTTTTTTTTTTTTTTTGGCCGGGCTGCACAGCATGCAGCATCTTCCCCTGACCAGGGATCGAACCCTGTGCCCCCTGCAGTGCGAGCTCAGACCACTGGACTGCCAGGGATGTCCCCAGTGAACTATTTTAAAGTAGTCCATGGTATCAAAAAATCAAATAGTCTACAGTTTGTACATAACACCAACCCTCTGTCATCCTGAATACGAGATATTATAAAATTCTTACTTTTATAATTCCCAGCTGTATTGCAGTTTTGCATGCTGGTGGTGAAGAGTACAGCGCTCATCCTCAGAAGGATTGGGTTTTCACAGACCTAATTTGGGGAGACAGAGTACTTTGCTTTCCCTTCCCTATCCTCTTGCCTGGGAAAATTCCTACTGTCTTCGAACTATTGCTTAATGACCCTTTGCTTTAACGTTTAGAGTGATAACAGAACCAACTTTACAATTCAGATGTACGGGCTCAGTCAGTAAAAGTATCTGTGAAACCTCCCCTTGGGTTTGACACTAACTGAGCCCTCCACTCACTCCCCTTTGCTGTAGAACTTCAGTCAGTGGCTCAGCTGCCTTGCAAGTGCTGAAAACCCCCAGCTCTGCCAGCTCAGCCCCCTCTCAGTTCCATTTCCTTCCTGGTCCGTAGACGGGGGTGCCTCATTTTCCTTCCCAAAACTTGCCAGTTCTGCTTACATGACCTCTTGCCTGACGGAGGGTTCAGCCTCCTAGCGGTCTCCAGGCCAGTCTAGCTTCCATCTGCCAGCTTGGGCCATTCTTTCTGTCACTGGCGGTGACTTCCAAAGAGAGACCTACGAATCAGGGCGGCAGGAAGGCTGGGTAGCAGAGCCTTGAAGGCACAAGGATAGGTCCTGAGACATGGTTCAGTAGCTTTGCACGAGTTCTCCCTTCTGCCTAGATTCCCTTTCCGCATTCCTGGTCTGGGTCCTTCGGGCTCACACCAGTATTTGGTAGCCCATCCCTCTCGCCAGCAGGTCAGGTGCCACTTTTTGGACTCTCCAACCAGTGTTTGTTTATCTCATTCATGGTCCACATACTATTTTGTAAATACACTTTGTTTTCCCCTGAGGCTGTAATTTCTTAGGGGCAGGGATGACCTTTTATTTCTCTGTTCCCCAACGCTAACAAGAACAGTGCTTGGCTCAAAGTAAGTGCTTAATGAATGGAGAGAGACCAACAGAGGCTATCCTTAAACTTGAGAAGCTTTTCATTGAGAAGCTTTTCATTGAAAACAGAAACAAGGGCTTCCCTGGTGGCGCAGTGGTTAAGAATCCACCTGCCAATGCAGGGGACACGGGTTCGAGCCCTGGTCCAGGAAGATCCCACATGCCGCAGAGCAACTAAGCCCGTGCACCACAACTACGGAACCTGCGCTCTAGAGCCCGCGAGCCACAACTACTGAGCCCGCGCACCTAGAGCCCGTGCTCCGCAACAAGAGAAGCCACCACAATGAGAAGCCTGTGCGCCGCAACGAAGAGTAGCCCCTGCTCGCCGCAACTAGAGAAAGCCCGCGTGCAGCAATGAAGACCCAACGTAGCCAAAAATTAATTAAAAACAAAAAAAGATGGAGGGCAGTTGAATAACCTTTAAGTGAGTGTGTATTCAGTCCACTGAACACTGTGGCCATTTATTGAGAATTCTTATTCACGGAGCCCTGAACTAAGTTTATGCATTATCTTATTTCATTCTCAGTATGTCTGTGATGTAGGTAGTACTATTAATATCTTCATTTTACAGACGAGAAGACAGGCTCAGAGAGTAGCTGGCTCAAGGTCACACTTAGTGAGTTGCAGAGACAGGATCTGAGATTGAGACAGTGACTCCAGAACCCAGACGCTTGACCATGCTTCCCAGGGCTTGTCGAATGAGCCTAGTCCTGCAACGGGAGCGGGAAGGAAAACATAGTTCCCATGCGTTACCAGACATGCTTTCCTTCCACTGTCTTGTCCATCCCTTCCTGTGTGCCAGCAGCTCTGGCTAGATCTCTGGGGGTTTTTGACTTAACGATCTAAAATTCTTTTTTATTTTCTTTTAAGAGGTCAGCTTTTTATTGAACATAATACAAAGGAGATTTAATCAAAAAGACCAAAGCCTATGCCATTGTCAGACTCCTCAGAGCCTTCTTTCTTGGCTCCCATTTTGTCCTCCATCGGGGCAGGACCTCCTGCTGGGCAGGGCCACTAGCCCTATGCTGCAGATAAGCGTCTTGGTGTTGACATTGGCCAGGGCCTTTGCAAACAAACCTGGCCAGAAAGGTTCGACATTCACACTGGCTGCTTTAATGAGGGCGTTGATCATACCCTACGTTAGTGGCATCTCATCCTCGTGCAGGATAAGGGTTGGGTAGATGCAGGTGAGCTCGGAGACGGAGGCTGTGGAGGAGTGTGTGCCGAGTGGGCGGCTGCCAGGTGCAGGTGCCCCCAGAAATGAGGGCCTCACTTCAACACTGCCTTAGCTTCCGTGGAAAGATCAAGCATTTTAGCAGAAGCTGAGGAAACGGCCCATCTAAATTCTAATATGAAACACTAAGGTTTAAATTCAAAGTAAAAATGCACTTACTTATTCGTTCTACAGGTACCTGGCCAGGCACTGCATTAGGCAGAGAGGATGCAAAGACAGATCATGGTCCCCAGTTAAGGAGCTGATGCTCTAGTGCTGGGATAAGCAAATGGAATCAGAATTCAGTAATAAAGCCATTTGGGCTTCCCTGGTGGCGCAGTGGTTAAGAATCTGCCTGCCAATGCAGGGGACACGGGTCCAAGCTCTGGTACGGGAAGATCCCACATGCCGCGGACCAACTAAGCCTGTGTGCCACAACTACTGAGCCTGCGCTCTAGAGCCCGCGAGCCACGACTACTGAGCCTGCATGCCACAACTACTGAAGCCCGCACACCTAGAGCCCGTGCTCCACAAGAGAAGCCACTGCAATGAAAAGCCTGTGTACCGCAATGAAGAGTAGCCCCCGCTCGACGCAACTTGAGAAAGCCCGCGTGCAGCAACGAAGACCCAACACAGCCAAAAATAAATAAATACAATAAATTTAAAAAAAAAAAAAAAAGGGCTTCCCTGGTGGCACAGTGGTTGGGAGTCCGCCCGCCGATGCAGGGGACACGAGTTCGTGCCCCGGTCCGGGAAGGTCCCACATGCCGCGGAGCGGCTGGGCCCGTGAGCCATGGCCGCTGAGCCTGCGCGTCCGGAGCCTGCGCTCCGCAACGGGAGAGGCCACAACAGTGAGAGGCCCGCGTACAGCAAAAAAAAAAAAAAGAAAAAAAAAAAAAACCATTGGACCCAGCGATTATCATACTAAGTGAAGTAAGTCAGAGTAAGACAAGCATCATATTATATCACTTATATGTGGGATCTAATATAAAAATGATACAAATGGGACTTCCCTGGTCCAGTGGCTAAGAATCCGCCTTCCAATGCAGGGGATGTGGGTTCGATCCCTAGTCAGGGAACTAAGATTCCACGTGCCGCAGAGCAACTAAGCCCGTGCACCGCAACTAGAGAAAAGCCCATGTGCTACAATGAAAGATCCCGCGTGCCGCAATTAAGACCTGGCGCAGCCAAAAATAAATAAATAAATATTTTTAAATAAATAAAAATTGTGAGTCACTTTGTTGTATACCTGAAACTTACATGATATTAAAAAAATAATACGAATGAACTTTTCTACAAAACAGACTCACAGATCTCGAAATAAAATTTATGGTTACCAAAGGGGAAACGTGAGGGGAAGCAATAAATTAGGAGATTGGGATTAATATACACACACTACTATATATAAAATAGATGACTAACAAGGAGCTACTGTATAGCACAGGGAACTCTACTCAATACTCTGTAATGACCTATATGGGAAAAATCACTTTCCTGTACACCTGAAACATACACAACATTGTAAGTCAACTGTACTCCAATAAAAATTTTTTAAAAAAGAAAGAATTCAGTAACAAAGGACTCAGTGCCTTACATAGGAGAGTCACGACGTGGCTGGAACTGAATGGAGGGCACACAACAGTGCCGTTGATCAGTGTCTGAACTCTGCCAGACTGTGTCCATGGGCTCGCATTTTAATCCATGTTGGCCTGGGGGAGAGAGATACCATATCCCACATGCTCACATGAAGACATGGAGGTTCCAAGAGATCAGCGTGAGGGTGTGTGCTGCAAGCAGCGGGGCTGTCCACGCCTGTGCTCTTGCTGTTCCACTGGCACAGCTGACTCAGAAGTTACTTTGCTTGGATAAGGAGGGAAATGTGTTATTTCTTGTCTTCTTAGGAAAACTCTCCAGGAGCCTTAGTCATTTGAAATGAAGCAAGGATAGTCTAACCCTAGGGCTGGGAAGGCCCTGAAGAATCTTTACCCTCAGAAACCCAACAGCACTAAACCCCTGAGACCGTCTCGGTGTATCTGATTCTGAGATAGGACAAGGATGAGGGTGGCACCTGCAACGGGGGCTCAGAGTGGAGGAGAGGTGGCAGCAGAGACCTGAAGACATCAAAGCCAGAGATCCCCACCGGGCTGAGGGTGAGGTCTGCGATGGGGATTAGCAAAACAGAGTGTGGTAACAACCCAGGGAGGGTCCCCGTTGGAAAAAGGAGCAGGATTTGACAACAGAAGGATATGCAGGTCAGAGCATGCCGGTACTTTTTGGTTGGAAAATTGATGACATGGTAGAGGAAGAAGAAGAATGGGGAGCGTCATCTGAAAATGGAGTTTGTTTTCGCCGAATTTAATCCAAATTGGCAGATGGTTCATAAAGCAAATAACTGGACCCAGCAGAGGGGAAGCTTTCAGATCCTGACAAGTGAATGCATCCCTGCTGCTCACAGGTAGCTGCTATAACAGGTGTGTGTGAACTGGCACACGAAGATCAAAAGGAAGGGGTCCGAGGGGGTCTGGGGCACACACTTAGAATTTTCTTCAAAAGACAGAACCCAAAGAAACCCAGGCAGCATTTCTAGAGTTAAGAGTGGATTACGTGGACTTCCCTGCTGGCACAGTGGTTAAGAATCCACCTGCCAATGCAGAGGACATGGGTTCGATCCCTGGTCTGGGAAGATCCCACATGCCGCGGAGCAACTAAGCCCGCAAGCCACAACTACTGAGCCAGCGCGCCTGGAGCCCGTGCTCCACAACGATAGAAACCACCGCAATGAGAAGCCCGTGCACTGCAAACGAAGAGTAGCCCCCGCTCGCCACAACTAGAGAGAGCCCACATGCAGCAATGAAGACCCAAACACAGCAAAAAAAAAGAAAAGAAAAAAAGAGTGGATTACGTGTTACCAGGCACATATCCCTGTATTTGTAATCCTCAGCAAAGACACTGAATCGTTGCATCATGAAATGACCTGGAGGAATAGAGTTGGCCTCAATGTTGGGTTCCTTGTAGGTCAGCAATTCATTAATGCAAGGAGGGCCACTAATATTCCTCCCCTGTGAGGTCATTATGCAAGGCTGCTGGAACAGGCCCTTGGACCCAGAGTAAACTTTCATTGGTCAAAAAGGGAAGGGGATAGTCCTTTGTTTCACAGTGGTTGAAGCCTCCAATTTCCTTCCCACTTATGAGCTGAGATTTTTTTGGCACATGGAGGGTAGGGTTGAGGTTTCCAGCCCCCTGAACAGCAGTCTCCGATCTTAGCCATAACCACACATCTTTTTTTTTTTTTTTTTTTACAATTTTTCAAGCAAATTTTATTTATTTTTAAAATTTTTATTTGAGTATAGTTGATTTAATAACCACACGTCTTGACAACTGGTTTCCCCTCCAGGCTGGGCCTTAAGTGTGCCAGAAAGTGGTTCTTTTCTGCTGTTGTCTTGAGTGAAAGCACTTTCATATCACGTTTCCATGCTTTGTCATGTCTGTTTCAGTGCTGACAATGAAAGCGCTGGCCTAACCAGCCAGGCTTCTAAACCCTGCATGTCCCCTTGGTTCCGTGCACACCCGACCAAGTGCCCCCGCTGGGGTCGCCGCTTTCTCTTCACAGGCTCAGAAGTAAATCTGGTAGCTCACCCACTGCACTCGACTTTAACGACTTTTAGAGTTGAAAACAACTGCAGATTCTAATTCAAACTCTGCCATCCCTCGATTTCGTAAAAGAAAGGTTTTCATCTCCAGCTACCTTCTCAAAATAGATAAATAAAAGCAAGAGGATTCACCAAAAATCAACTCTGAATGACAGATTCATCAAATTCCTGAAGATTTCATTCTTTCCCTTCAGAGTACCTGATTCCCTCTGGGGCCCCAGCCCAGGGCCACCAGACAAGCTGGGTCTAAAGCAGTTTGACCAGAGCTGTTTTTTTTCCACCAGAG